ACATTTCAGTAAAATAAATATTGGGTTCAGCGGGCACCAAGTTGAAATATCAACTGCCACGTTGAGCTGAGGATGAACGAGTGTTGACTTTGAGAAAGGACTGCTTCAGGAGGAAGAGGACATGATCTCGTTACGCCGTTTGCGATATATAACGGAAATGATGCGAGACCCAACTAGGAAATTGAAACTCGTTGTGGTGCCGCGTCTGCATAACTTGTAGAAGATTATTGATATTTTAAATTCTTGAAGCGGGGGAATAATATTGTGCCGGGGCGCGTATCGGATAAAATTGCAGGGAAAGGATGGGAGGAAATGACAAATAAAGGTACTTGTTTAACATAATTGTATTATAATTGCAAACAAGGTGGGTGTAAACAATTTTAAAAAATGCATTTTCAGTTCTTGTCGTATCTTAGATTGAGGGAATTTGCATATATTTTTTTAAATGTCTAGAAATAATCTACAACCTTTTATAGGTAAGTCATGATGAATTTTATATGCTTCTACCGTAAACAGAGTTGCGTTAAAGGAAATATCACCTTTAATAAGTGTCTACTTCCCTTTTTTATAATAATTATAATATTTATTTAGTTGTAACTTATAAATTAAGTACCTAATGAAGTCACTAGGGTGGAAAATGTTACAGTAGAGTCAAATTGTGTTTGTAAATTTAATGAATCAATATTAGGTAGTGTATAATGTCTTAATATTTCAAAATACCTTAAATTATTAAGAAATAGGCCTTAGGGCGCAGTTTCGGGAGCAATTATTTTGACCAAAAGAGTGTACAGTTTCTATTACGTTATTTTTTTAAAATGGGAACAACCTGAACCTGAATTTAAACATTTAAACGTTCTTTTAATCCAACTTTAAAATTTACTTCTACCCCAATTGTCTATTCGATATTTATTATGGAAAAATATTTTCCCGAACATTTAACAGTAACTGTACAGTATTTATTAAAAATACTAGCAGGTCTACAGACCCAGAGCCAATATATGTAGTACCAAAATACTTTTCTCCAACCGTCACAAAACTATGACATTTTTCGACTGTCAGAAGTCTGTAAGGTTGATATTTTTCTTACTGAGTAAAAAAATCCGTCAGCTAAAAGGGTAGCAGACGTTCGTCGTAATGAGAATAAAAACTTGCATAATATAATGAGACCAAAACATATTGGCTACATTGTTTAGAAAGGGATTTCAAGCCATAACAAGATGAAGTTAATTTTTGACACAGATAATAATTAATCTGAGGAGACCAATCGAGTTTGTCATCAAGATACATACCGAGGAATCTTGCTGATTGAGAAAATTGTACATAATTATCCGCTATTGTTATTCCCTCAACTGAAGATATATTACAAAGTTTTGATCTGAAAAGCATAATCTTGTTCTTGTCTACATTTAACACAAGTTTATTTTTCTCTAACCACAGTGCTAGATTCTTAAATATTAAATCAGCAGCCACTTCAATATCCATAATATTAGTCGATTTGTATAGAACATTAGTATCGTCTGCGTAAGTTACTAGCAAACTAGGACAATTTTTTATAGCTTTATGTAAATCATTGGCATATAAAAAAATAATTATGGACCAAGGATTGACCCTTGAGGAACACCCATAGTTATTAATGAACTCTCAGACCGGGCAATATGAACTCAATTATCAATATGGCGACTAATGTTGGACAAAGTATCCATGACTACATCGATATATCCTACTTACCTACTTTGCTTTATTATCCAAAGGTTTGAATAATTTCAAAGCACAAATTGATAATTAAATGGGGGATTTCAGTTGGAGAAAAAATAGTATATTTTACTAGGAATAAAAGTGTCTTTTTTGTCTCGCAATTTTGCATCCGCTCGGCTTCGCTTCGCAAACAAAAGTAACACTTTCAATCCTAATATAACAATATGCTCTTTTCCTTTTTCAAATGCTGACTGACAGTTTGCTTATTTCTACCGTCGATATCGCGGTAACAATGACGTCTAATCTCGAGAGCATTATTACAGTATATAAGAGGATTTTTTTTTATGAATTCTACAAAAGGTTTGGAAATGCTTCAGCTGTCAACGGCAGAAATGCGAGCAGGCATTGTGAGCGGCGAACGGATTGGAAAGGAACGTTAAAAATTGGAATATTTATTGCTCGGTGAGCGACAGAAAATTAAATTTTACACAATGTATACGCGAGTTTCCCTTTATCCGACCGATTAATTCCCAATACAAATGTATTTCGGCTCGGCTAGAACCATTTGTTGTAGATTGTATTTTAACCGCGGCATCTCATCATACTTTTAATCGATTTAATGCGGGAAATCGCTGTCGTCGGGACTATTATAGTCTGGCGCTGCGCCAAACGGTGAATTATTGTTGTGCCATAAATTTTATTTATCTTTTCGGGCGGCCCGGATTGCGTTTGAGCGCGCGGATTTTCAATTGTCGAACGAAAAGAGGGGCTTCGTCGATGGGGGCGATTTATCATACATCGATTCGATAAAATGTCCAATAAAAGTTCGCCGGATTCGAGGGATTTTTTTTCAATCGCGCGCCCGCGAATCGCGTGTTTTTTCCATCGCCGATGTTATTTTTCGAATTACTCGATATGGGATCAACCTGGGATTCAATTATTAAAACTGTGTCGACCCAACTTTATTGTCGTTGTTGCACTAAATTTAGAAAAACTGAATGTTGAGCCACTTGATTTCTACAATTTTGTGAGAAATATGATCAAATTTTCTTAATCCATGTACAAGTCGACAACATGAATTTTGAACTTTTTGAATTCTATATATTTTCTTGTACACTAAGGCATGGACCATAGACATAACAGTAATTATAATAGGAGAGAACAAGTGACTCACATAACATTATTTTAAATTTTTTATTCAGGATATGACGACTACTATAAATTAATCTAAGCGAAGAATAAGATTTTTGGAGTAATGTTTTCACATACTATTTGAATCGTAAGATACTGTCAAGAGTCACTCCCAGATTTTTTACACTGTCGGTAATAGGAATTGGAATACCATCAATTATAATATTAAAGTTGAGTCTTAATAATTGTACCTTTTTCTTAGTACCAAAAAAAATTATTTTTGATTTGCTAGAATTTAATTTTAAATTATGTTCATCAGATAATTGCCTTACAGTTTGTAACTCAGAGCTGACAATACTGCATGCTTGATCCAGATCATTAATTTTGCTAAAATGGAAGCAGTGTAAATTATAAAAAGTAAGGGACCCAAAATTGACCCCTGGGGTACACCAGAAAATATTTCTAAACTATTAGAGAAAATGTTATGTCATTGTATCATTGTGAAACACGTAAATTGTTTTACGCATCGTTACCATCGGCTCCAGAATCTCGATGGGATCTGTTATAGATCGCATCATCATAAATTGAGTCTTCTACTTTTCGCCAGTTTTTTTATAGGTGTGCTGTGCACTGTTTAATACTTATTACTTTATGTTTATTAATATACCGGGTGATCCATTAACGGTATCGAGCGGCTGAATATAGGAAACTATATTCCACTGTATGCCACGATTATGGGGTAAAAAATCTGTTAACAAATACGACTAAAAGAAATTGATTTAAAATATGTTCATGTTTGTAACTTCACCGCTAGGGGGCGCAACTGCTACAGCGAATTGTCGGTTTTTCGAAATTTCGCCTATATAACCTAAGTTGAAAATACACTGTTAAACCCTTCACAAGTTTTGTTTGAACTTTTTTTTTGTTATTACCATAGCAACGCCAGTATGAAGGACGCTATTTTGAAAATTTTAAATCGTCACAACTTCTAAATTGCCTTAATCGATTTCAATAAACGACGGAACATTTTAAAGAATTGTTAATAAAATTTATATTTATGATATGGGAATAAAAATATTATTTCCCTGCGCAACGGTAGACGACGCTAATGAGAAAAGTTTTGTAACTGTCTCCGTTTACTAAAAAAATTAAATGCAACGATATAGTTTTTTTTCATGGCTTGATAGACCAATCATTAACGAAAACAAATACACAAAAAAATCCAAAAAACCTCAAATTTTGACCTTTGACCCCGAATAACTTTTTTAGTACACATGGAATCGGTGGGGACTTTTGACACTTTATTTCTAATGGTGTACCCAAGGCCTCCACCAAAATTTAGCTCTGTCGGAATTTTCGTTATTTGACCACTATTTTTATGACTAATTTGACCGGCCTAATTATAAAATTATGAAACCATGAAGTCAGTTTTACTAAAGAAGAAAATTTTTGAACAAGTGGCACCACTGTCATCGAACTTACAATTAGAAGACGTACTGTTTATTATTGTCTTACATATGCGTATATGTTCTCACCACAGGTCAGCGCAAACCGGGTTATCCGAAATTAGGCGTGGTAATTTGTATCAGTGCACTAACAACGTTGCCAGTTGTTACCTTTCAATTGGTACTATACATATTCATCTAATCGGAAGTAAACAAGAAAGCAACAAAATTAAACCGTGAACAGTTTAAATTTAAGCAGAATACGATCCTGTTCCGAACGCTTACGAAGGCCAATGGAAGTTAGCATCCACTTTTCAGTTAAAATTTCGTGTAGCAGCCTCTGAAAAGCTGCTATTACCAAATGACTTCACAGTTGGTATAAATTTTGGCTGACTAAAATAATGTCATTTTCTCGTAAACCAAACATCCCTTAGTATAGCTAGGTTGTCCTTATTTTCCTAATTCCTATTTTTCTGGAGTGAGTTCTGGACCCTGCGTATACTTCACAAACTCCCTTAACCCGAACATTCCAAGGTTAGCCGCGACGAAGTCTCCACAAATCGGGATTATACTTACAAATTCGAGCCGGCCACAATTAAATCTTTACACTCGGTCGTTCCTCGCTAAGCCGACCCAAATTAAATTCCTCCATCTCGGGGGGCGACCCGTCGAAATTTAATCAACGGTTTCGAAGCCCTGCCTCGATTCAAAACGGGATCCTTGTTCCAGATACTCGCTGGTGGGATGGGGCCTGCCTTCTGTGCTACTGGGGGCGAGCATCCTCGTCCAGTACCACGACAAGGCCGGCAAGCTGCTGGACACCAGGAGCCTGAAGGGCCAGAATTGCTGGTAAGTGCCTGTTTTATGCTTATCGGGGGGGCCGTTGCAGGTATTAGTGGCCGGATTAGGCGTAAATATTTTATGTTACAATCCCGAACGAAGGGGAAAGGGAATAGATAACGGCGGCGTGGTTTCTGCTGTGTTCAGTCATCAATAAGGGGCTTTCAGTGGCGTAGGCTGTGGGAGTGCAATGCTATTTGAGGGAGGGGTATTTTACGACTATACTGATACTTTTTTTAAATAATAGTGCAATGAAAAACTTTGCATAGCAATTTTAAATTAGCGAAGTCAGTAAAAATTAAAACAATCTTTGTAAAAAATCTTCTAAGTATACAGGCTGATTCAAAATTCAGAATAAAGAATTTCGGGGCGTATTTCTGAGGTCAAAATAAGACTTTATTCTCCTATAAACGTAANACGACTAAAAGAAATTGATTTAAAATATGTTCATGTTTGTAACTTCACCGCTAGGGGGCGCAACTGCTACAGCGAATTGTCGGTTTTTCGAAATTTCGCCTATATAACCTAAGTTGAAAATACACTGTTAAACCCTTCACAAGTTTTGTTTGAACTTTTTATTTGTTATTACCATAGCAACGCCAGTATGAAGGACGCTATTTTGAAATTTTTAAATTGTCACAACTTCTAAATTGCCTTAATCGATTTCAATAAACGATGGCTCATTTTAAAGAACTATTAATAAAATTTATATTTATGATTCCATTCATTAACGAAAATAAATACTCAAAAAAATCCAAAAAACCTCAAATTTTGAGCTTTGACCCCGAAAAACTTTTTTAGTACACATGGGATCGGTGGGGACTTTTGACACTTTATTTCTAATGGTGTACCCAAGGCCTCCACCAAAATTTAGGTCTGTCGGAATTTTCGTTATTTGACCACTATTTTTATGACTAATTTGACCGGACTAATTATAAAATTATGAGACCATGAAGTCGGTTTTACTAAAGAAGAAAATATTTGAACAAGTGGCACCACTGTCATTGAACTTAAAATTAGAAGACGTACTGTTTATTATTGTCTTACATATGCGTATATGTTCTCACCACAGGTCAGCGCAAACCGGGTTATCCGAAATTAGGCGTGGTAATTTGTATCAGTGCACTAACAACGTTGCCAGTTGTTACTTTTCAATTGGTACTACAGATATTCACCTAATCGGAAGTAAACAAGAAAGCAACAAAATTAAACCGTGAACAGTTTAAATTTAAGCAGAATACGATCCTGTTCCGAACGCTTACGAAGGGCAACGGAGGTTAGCATCCACTTTTCAGTTAAAATTTCATGTAACCGCTTCTGAAAAGATGCTACTACCACCAAATGACTTCACACCAGGTATGAATTTTGGCTGACTAAAAAAATAATGTCATTTTCTCGTAAATAGCAACCTATTTACCTGTTTCCAATTTTTCTGGAGTGAGTTACGGACCCTGCGTATACTTCACAAACTCCCAAGACGCCCTTAACCCGAACATTCCAAGGTTAGCCGCGACGAAGTCTCCTCAAATCGGGATTATACTTACAAATTCGAGCCGGCCACAATTAAATCTTTACACTCGGTCGTTCCTCGCTAAGCCGACCCAAATTAAATTCCTCCATCTCGGGGGGCGACCCGTCGAAATTTAATCAACGGTTTCGAAGCCCTGCCTCGATTCAAAACGGGATCCTTGTTCCAGATACTCGCTGGTGGGATGGGGCCTGCCTTCTGTGCTACTGGGGGCGAGCATCCTCGTCCAGTACCACGACAAGGCCGGCAAGCTGCTGGACACCAGGAGCCTGAAGGGCCAGAATTGCTGGTAAGTGCCTGTTTTATGCTTATCGGGGGGGCCGTTGCAGGTATTAGTGGCCGGATTAGGCGTAAATATTTTATGTTACAATCCCGAACGAAGGGGAAAGGGAATAGATAACGGCGGCGTGGTTTCTGCTGTGTTCAGTCATCAATAAGGGGCTTTCAGTGGCGTAGGCGGTGGGAGTGCAATGCTATTTGAGGGAGGGGTATTTTACGACTATACTGATACTTTTTTTAAATAATAGTGCAATGAAAAACTTTGCATAGCAATTTTAAATTAGCGAAGTCAGTAAAAATTATAACAATCTTTGTAAAAAATCTTCTAAGTATACAGGCTGATTCAAAATTCAGAATAAAGAATTTCGGGGCGTATTTCTGAGGTCAAAATAAGACTTTATTCTCCTATAAACGTAAGTCCAAAATAAATTTTTAAATTTTTCACCGTAAATAGTTATAAAATTTGAAATTATGATGTGCATTTAACTCTTCATCAGTTAATTTCTCGAAAACGGTTGGCCTGAAAAATTTCGACCAAGTATACCTTCTTTGCTTAAAATTAATGTGGGAATAAATGCACTAATAGCTGTTTTACATTGACAATTTATTGATGAATTAATTCATGAAGTCGCTTCATCAAGAAATTGGACAAGTGTAATGCACCAAATCTTTCGTCAATTTCTTTGTGAAGTTCGGAAGTACCAACCCAACAGATTTCCAGCCTCAGATCAGTAATGAGGTTATGTTATTGGAATATGTAAATAATTGTGTGGCGTCGTACTAGTTTTGCGTTGTTTTTACTGATTTGTTACTTACAAATACTAATATTTATATAATATGTTGTACCGCTGTTGTATCACTACAATTATGAGTGGAAAGGCGACTTTTTTAAATTTATTTTCTACTTTGATTCATTGGTAGAACTGATTCATACGTCAAAACACTTGACAAAGTCTGTAGCAGTGTAAAACCACACTGTTTACCAATAAATTCGTGATTTAATTCATTGAAGAACTTCGTCAATAATATTCATGAATAAATTGTCAATGTAAAACAGCTATAATACGAAATGTCAATGTACAGGGTAGCAAAAAAGTTAGGACCAATTTAATTCAATCGGTGCGCCCTCTACAATAAAAAACCCTCGAATCCCAAGTTTTATGCGTACATTCAAATCTATTTGGAAATTATTCCTAAAAAATCGAAAAAATAAAAATCTTTGACACGCTGTAGGTATATCGAAAACTAAGCATTTGTGGACACCCGTTTACTGGAAAAAATCTTATTTTGACCTCAAAAATACGCCACTAAATTCTTTGTACTGAATTTTGAATCACCCTGTATATATTGTACCGCACTCTTGTTAACTTTTTTGTTTTTGATAAAAAGTTTTGATTATCTTGGGAAGGCATGAGCAGTAATTAAATATGTAATAAATAGGCCAGGAAAAAGGACACCTTTGACCTTTAGAAACACATATCAGGGTTTGTTTTCTTAAATTCCATTATGAAAACTGATTTCTTTTTAAACCTTTTACAACTATAGATGATGCGGTCTCTGTCTAGATCAGGAAAAAGAGCTGGAAATGACATTTTGCGACTTTTTGTTTCGGCAAGCTGAATTTATCACTACAGATGCTAAATATTATGTACAATAACATATTAGTTTCTACAGTCATAAAAATGAGGGGAAGATTGTTTACAGGGTGGTTAATTGTATAATTTTTACGTAAATTCACGTTTTTCGCTTATAACTTTTTTCCGTTCATTTCCACGAGAAAACAGTAAAGTACTTTTTGTTCGTCTTCAAAAGACCTACAAAACTAGCCCTCGAGCGTCAAAAAATATTGATTAGATCAAAAGTTATAAACAGAAGAAGTTTATTTATGACTTTTGAATTAAACATTTATAAACTGCGTTATTATTACCAGAACGTTTTGGCATCGCATCCTCTCATTCCTTATCACTGTCTAATAACTCACACGAAATCTGGAATCGGTAAGTTGAATAGTTTACAAATTATGGCCTTATAAACAAATTAACTCATTATTAGTCTGGACGATCCCGAGCATCTTCCACAATCGCACTGATTTTTTTTCATGGTAGATATACATTGAAATCTATAATTTTTTTTAAATTTCAAATTTGTAACGGATTTTTTTTTTATTTTTTAGCCTTACTTGCAAAATGAAATATACGACGCACACGCATGACATAGTTATATATTATTACAAATTCGGAAAGCTTATGAACAGAGCTTTAAGTTAGAAAAGAAAATCGCCAAGATTCGTTGAAAAACAACGGCGTTACAGATTCAAAGTTGACGGCCTATTGTTAAACAAATTAGGTCGGTAGCGGCAAAAAAAATACTGTCATAACCGGCAATCCTAGTACTTTCCCAGATAAAAATATTTTATTTGTGGAAGTATGTTAAGTGCACAAGAAATATTGCCAAAAGTCAGTGGGTCGCTTGATTTTTCGGCGGAAGGGTGGGGAAAGCGAACGACAGCGAATCCGAAGAAAATGACGATAATATTCATAGTCCTGCCGTTAAAAAAGCGAAATCCGCTTGAAAATAATATATTTGACAGTCTGTAACTCCGTTGTTTTTCAACGAATCTTGACGATTTTTTTTTAACTTAAAACTTTTCATAAACTTTCCGAATATGTAATAATATATAACTATTTCACGCTCGTGCGTCGTATATTTCATTTTGCAACTAAGTCTAGAAAATAAAAAAAAATTCCAGCAATTTTAGTATACAACAAAATCTATCCATACAAACTAGTGTTTAATCATAAATTGCTTGATGGAGGTGGAGGTGATGGTCGTCGTTTGGAGTTTTTTTAACAATGGGCGAGAAACTGATGAAAACAGATTCAATATTTTATGTATTTACTGACGAATCAACATTCACAAATAATGGCGTGGTTTCCTCTCAAAATCGTAGACACCGGGCTAACGATAATCTAATTTTTCAGTTGATAACTAATAGTCAAAAATTTAAATAAGTAAATGTCTGGTGTGGGATAATGTATCATAAAATAATTTCTAGTTACTTTTTGAAAGAAAATTAAAGTTCGTATTTGGAAATTGTCAATAATTTTGGTTTGTCGGAACTAGATAGCGAAAATTTAGAGTCAGAAGAAAATTAATATTTTAACAAGACGAATGCCCTGCACATTCCACACTTGATGTTCAC